AGAACATAATATATGAGATGGAATGGCCACTTCCCCACCTTATCACCTTTCCTTCCCAGACAATACCCAGTAAATTCTGGAAATCATCGGGTAACTATTTGTATGAGGGGGTGGCCCAGAGTCATCTTATGTGAGAAAAATAATGTTTGTTGAAGGGGATGAACCTGGGTCACTTCTTTGACAGGAAAGTGCACTAACTGATCTTCTTCTTCCTATGCAATTATCTTGAAAAGGGGTAGTTACCATGCTGAGTTGTGGCTTACAGCTAGGGTGTGATATGTGCACCTTTTCACACAATGAATCCCATTTCAGCAAACTCCTAATTAGCCACCGTGTATGGCATACTTGTTAGGGGGCAATGGGTCTATTTAGCAGGCAGTGGGTCTATTTAGGGGGTAGTGGGTCTATTTAGTGGCTAGTGGGTCTATTTAGGGGCTAGTGGGTCTATTTAGGGGCTAGTGGGTCTATTTAGGGGGTAGCGGGTCTATTTAGGGGGTAGCGGGTCTATTTAGGGGATAGCGGGTCTATTTAGGGGGTAGTGGGTCTATTTAGGGGGTAATGGGTCTATTTAGGGGGTAGTGGGTCTATTTAGGGGGTAGTGGGTCATTTAGGGGGTAGTGGGTCTATTTAGGGGGTAGTGGGTCTATTTAGGGTGTAGTGGGTCTATTTAGGGGGTAGTGGGTCTATTTAGGGGGTAGTGGGTCTATTTAGGGGGTAGCGGGTCTATTTAGGGGGTAGCGGGTCTATTTAGGAGGCAGTGGGTCTATCCCCCCCAAAAAAAAATTAATGGGGCCTTGGGACCGACACAGAGAACTAAGTACAAAATCACCATAGAACTTAACCTTAATAACATCAATCCCTACACAGACAGCTTCAACTAAACACTGCTAGATATCTGTTCTGATAGAAACTGCAACAGTTAACATAAAAAATATAACTAATCATGGAGAGATGTCCCTGTAGCGTGGCACCAGAAAATGCTGAGCATGTGCTTCAACACTGTCAACTGTATGCTGCCAACAGAGACACAATCTGGCCTGTTCCAACCACAATGAAGAAAGACAAAACTATGGTACATGAAGGGATATGGATGGCATGATGGCTTTCATAAGGGCTACCGGCCTCCTGATATAGGTTTTCTGACAGAAGGATCAAAGAAGAAGATGAAGACTATATGTTTAGACAGGGCATGTGTCCATGGCGCCTTTCAGATCTCAGTTCTTAGTGTTGTGAACTCAACTGATGACATTCATCCACACAACCTGCTAAGACTATCAAATATAATTTCATGATCAGGGTTCATAGCCAAATTTACCAATCAATTTCAAGGCTTTTCAAGGTCTTTTTTAAGGTCTCCTTAGTTTTTTTCAAGGTTGTCTCGGTGTAATACTGAAACAAGATTTTTGCCTTGTTCAAGGGTGTACTGAGCACACAAGGTACTTCATTTGTGCCACATGTGTTGGTATACCAGCACAGATATAATCATCATGTAGCATTTCCTTTGTCCTGACAAAAAAACCTCGGTCTCTCACCAGCTCTCCCGCCTCATGTACTTTTTTATACTCAAGGAGTCACTTATATCCTGTGCCCATCTTCATGCTGGTCGGCCCCTGAGCTTGATATAGTGTTTGAAATTTGTTTTAGGGCTTGGTGGTAGAGGGCAGCAAACTGTAGTCCTGTCTGTTCTGGACCAGGTACCTGAGAGGGTTAGGGGAGAGAGAGAGAGTCATGAAGAGAGAGGAAGACACATGCTGAGGTAGGCTGGGAGAGACAGTGTAAAGATGGACAGATGAAGGTAGAGAAAAGAAGGAAAAGAAGTCTGGGGAAGGAGGAAAAAATGAGAGGGAGGGATGGAGACATGATGAGGAAAAGTGGGGAAGGAACAGCGAAAGACAGAGAGGGAGACAAATACAGAAAGAGGGAATGCAGATACAGAGATGGGCAGATGAAAAGAGAAGAAAAAAGGGAACGAAATAGAGATATGGAAGGAGGAAAATATGACAAAGAGTTGAAAGAAGGGAGACAGAGGGAGAGAGAACGGACAGGGTGAGAAGCAGATGCAAGCAGAGAGAGATGTAGACATAAAGGAGAGAGAGAGACAAAGGGACAGCACAGAGAGGCAAGCAGACAGAGGGAGAGAACCAAAGAAAGAGAAAAAAAAGGCAGAGCAGGAGAATGGGAGGGAGGTATACAAAGAGGAAGTGATGAAGGGAGGCAAACAGACATAAAGCAAGAGAGAGAGAGAGGTGGGTAAGGAAGGCAGTGACAAACACAGATTAAGAGAGAGGGGCAGGAAGGGAGACAAGATACATCAAAGAAAAAAAAACAGCCACCTACTCCCCCCCCCCCCCCCCCCCCACACACACAATTTCAAGTGTAGTGGACACAACCACTAGGAAAAGATAGTTATGGGGCAAAAAATACGTAGATGAACCAGTAAAAAAATATTGGGGGGGGGGGGGGGGGGAAGAGAATGAGAGAGGGAAGCGGGTAAGGAAATCTAGAGAAAATGAAAAGACAGGATGGAGAGGAGACAAAGAAGAGATGGGACAGGAGAAAGGGCAAGGAAAGGAAGAGAGGAAGAATGGAGAGAGAAAGGAGAATAGTAGAAGATCAAAGGAAAGAGAAGGGGTGAGAGAAGAAAGGTAAGACACGGTGTGGGGGGGGGGGGGGGGTGTAAGAACAATGAGTGCCAAAAATAGAATTAGGAAATCTCTAAGTGAGGCCACTTTTCCGGTTCCTACCCTCTCCCAATGTGAATGTGGCCGTGGTCCAAAAACAACAGTGCTAACCCCTACTGCCCCTTGCTTGTCCTATCTGTGTGTGACAACAATAATTCAATTTCTTACACTTAAGGCTGGTGACCTGAGAGCCAAGGTCATTTTATGAAGAAGAAAAAAGTCCAGGGGATCCCAACCCACCACTGATGGAAAATAGAGAAGTTTACCCACACACATAAATAGGTCAGACACATAAATAGGTCAGGGCAGCAGTGGACTTCGTTTTATTTCTGGTTTTCCAATTACAGAAAGGAGGGGAGAGAGGAGGTGGTGGAAAGTGGTGTAGAAGGCTGAGGTGGTAAGGGTGAGAAAGAGGAGGTGAGAGAATAAAGTTTAAGAAAATAAAGTGGGAATGAGACAGGGAGAGAAAGAAGGGAGTAAGAAATAAGATGAGATATAGAGGGAAGAAGGTAGCAGGAAGGGGTGCACTCCCTCCCCTAGGTGTCATCAATGTGGGAGGAGAAAAGGGGGGAGGGGTGACGGCAAATGTGTTTTTAAAAGTACACATATATTTAATGTGTGGGAGGGGGAATGGTGGACATGAAATGTTCTGCACTAGGCAACACATAACCTTCTACACCAACTGAAGGTATGGAGAAAGAAAGAGAGAGAGAGAGAGAGGGAGGGAGTGAGGGAGAGTGGCAAATACAAAGAGAAAGAAGAAAGCAGTGACACAGACAGGCAGAGAGTGAGGAACAGGTAGGACAAAATATGAGGGGGCGGGAAGGGAGATGGACAGAGATTAAGGCCGCTAGGAAAACAAATACATCAAAAGAAAATATCCACCATGTTCACACAGAATGCCCCCCCCCCCTGGGGAACAACTTCCTGTGTACTTGAGTTGCTAGGAAGAGTTATGAAGCCGCACATTTACTAAACATTTAAACAAGAAATAAAATAGGAAAAAGGGGGAGGGGGGACAGGAAATGAGAGAGTAAAAGGAAAGATAGAGAGAAAGAGAAGAAGATGAAGATCAGAAGGGAGGGTTAGAGACAATGCAGGAGACGGGAAGGAAGGAGCAATAGGTAGAAGAGTGAAAGAGGGAGGGAAGAGAGAGAGAGAGAGGGGCGAGACAACAGAAGAGGGAATCTCGGGGAATTACAATACTGATCGCCAAACACACTGTAAAGATAAATCCAGGCCAAAAATAGAACTGGGAAATCCAGCTGCAGTCACTTTGCTTAGCCCCAATGCCATCTCTAATTAATAGAAAAGGCCGAGCTTAGCCCCACCACGGCGACTCTATTTATAAATACAACTGAACCGAGCCCCACCATCTCCCAATGTAATCCTTTCTAGAAACCACGGCCATAAACGATTTAAACTGTTCATTCTGCCCGACTTGCTAGAAACAAAGGCACACACACGCCAGACGGAAGCTGCTCCTTCCCGCCCCATGCCACACTGCTGCTGTCTGCATGTATTCATGATCTGTAACAAAGCCCGCCCTCCCCTGGCCTTTAACAAGCCATTTCGGCTGAAAATAGCCAATAATCAGCTGCCCTCACACCTGAAACGACCATACAACGAAAGTAGCCAAAAACTAACCAAATGGCCAAAAAAGCCAAATGGCTCCACCAAAATTGCCTGTGCTGAAAAACACAGGATTTCTGACATTTCATTGCCGCGGTCAAAATTCACGGCTTTTCAAGGTCGGAATGTCTTTTATAAGCTAAAAATCCCGGTTTAAGGTCAACGAAAAAAATCCCGGTAATTTCCCGATTTCCCGGTCCACTACGAACCCTGTCCATCTGCCTTTACTACCACTGATCTTTCCAGGTCTCACTGGGTTCTGAAATACCTCTCTTCCCACCATATGACCAAATATCCTGTTTGTCTTTTCCTTTTTTTTAAATTGTTTCATATAATCTTCATAAAGAAACAGAAAAAGAGAAATATTCTGGGCCACACTAAAAACATGCTTTCCAAAAACCATACTGGAGGGAAATTTCAAGGGCTAGAGAGCAAGATACAACTGGGAAGACTAAGTCAAAATATAAACAAACAGCTGTCTCAGACAGTGTACAACCAAGACAAGAGACAAAGCAAGCTGGGGATCCATTGCAGCCAACCTTCATTGTGGAGTCGACACCGCACTGATGACAATGATGATAATCTTATTTCATTCAGCTTCTCCAAGTAATCTTTCACTGATAACCCTGTATGTCGAAAGTACTCATATTCATCCCAGAAATAAAATTGAAAATACATAAGCTGTACCTGAATTTCCAAGTCATCAATATCCCTGGCACAGCCTTTATCCACACACAAGAGCTGAATCCGTAGTCCATTTTCTAGAACAGACAGCACCACCCCAGATACACAATCATTAGGCCTCAGACTCTGCAAAAGAATCAGGAATATAATATGGATGGGTTAGTGTAGAGCTATGCAAGATGAGATCATGGATCCAGGCTGGGTACTCATCATAAAGATGCAGCAGGTTCTTTGCAGAATGTGGCTCTTATTAAAGCCTCCTTGAACGAACCATAATGTCTAGCCAAACACGACCAGCTCCAGCTGACGGGCCGTGCTGCTGACATCACCAGGTCGGGCCAACGATGCAGTGGTTCTCAAACAAGAAATTAACTATTTTTGACAATGGCGAGGAAAGATTACTTAAATTTTAACTTTCAAGTGTCTACATACCTTCTTTAATAATTTCACAATTTTTAGCCGACTTTTCTTGATTGTTACCGCGGCACCCAGTTTGAGAACCGCTGCCTTAGCACATCGTTAGCATGACCCGCTGACGTCAGCAGCACGACCTGTTGTGAGTCAAACCTCCTGCCTCGAGCACTTTTCTACCCAAAGTCTCACTTCTGCCCCATGCCCATTTTCATGCTTGTCAGAGATATAGTCAATATAACACGTGCCATCTTCACTTCCACACATATCCTGGCAGTTATCTTTGGCTAGGTCTTCTTCTTCTTATTTTCATTCTCTCTGCTAGTGGTTTTCAGATGGACAGGCCACAGATCTCTAGAAGGCTGCGGTGTGACGCATGTCCTTCCCTGATCCATACAGCTTGGCTTCCAGTCAGACCAGGGACCATTCTACTGCATGTAAAAAGGATGCAGCACACGTTCAGTATTTTGTGCGGAAAGCTCTGAGTCCCTAACCTCTCGATCTCTTTTGTTGTACCCCACCAGGACATCATACAAGCGATAAACACCCGGTAACACAAAGTGCAACCATGCGGATGAGGATCACCTGTGGAGAGGTCCCAGAAACCCCCTTCAGCCGATAGGCCATATTTATGGCCCGGCTATATTCAGGGCCCCCGACAAAAACCAGGGTGGGGTTTCAAATAACGAAAAATTGCATCCCACATGGGGGCGACCAATTTAAAGAAAGTAAAGAGTCCCTAGCCTCGAATTTCTTGTACACATGGCTGCAGATAAGGCCTGGTAAACTTCGACAAAATTTTATATTTCAGCACCTTAAGAAGATTTCAAACACAACCTTCAGTCTGGTAGGCAAGCAAGGTAGCCAGCACACCTTTCACTCCCTGTGAAGTCATAACAAAAACAACAGCAAGCAAACATTAACAACAGCAAACACAAATACTCTGTAACACTGGAGACCTCAAGAAATAGAGGGATTAGAGAAACATGGATGTCCAAGAAAAACTCCAAGGCAAACAGTGATGAGAGATGCAAGAGGTGCTAGAATGGATACCAACCTTGATACTGACATGTTATCTAAACTTTACGCCCGGCTCGCTAGCGTAGTTGGCTTAACCGGATTGCGCGGTGACGGGGTAACGAACTCCTTGTGGTCCGGGTTCACGCCCGGGGGTAGTCAGAAAAGCCACATTTCTCCCAGATTTACGGTATTTACCATGGAATCAAGGCCGAAGGGTTGCGATATCCATAATGCCGAGCCTAAGGGTAAACAACTTATGGCTTCTGGATACTTACATTTTACATTATTTTACAGTGTGGAAGCAATGAATATTTTCCCCATGTTGTTGGGGAAATGTTTCCAAAACACAACTAAAAGGTAAAAAGCAAATTATTACTTTCACCATGTCAGATAAAATGAACACTATGCAACAATTTTGCACCTGGACAAGTGGTGGAAGCTTAGATGTCGGCTGAACCAACAAAAAGCAACTGTAGGCAAAAAAAAAAAACTGATGTGCCAAAGTTGGATGTGTAGTACTTCATTAATATCCTAAACCAGATAACGCCACAGGAAATTCATACATTTTAGAGGGTAGTAAGACAGGGTTTCCAGGCTTTCTGATGTTTTTAATGACCCCAAAACATGTAGAACTGGCCCTAACCCCAACCCACCTACGTCCCATCAGAGAGTGCAGCCTTGGTCCCATGTCTATCTCCCACCCCTTGAAATATTAGACTCTCGTGACCTGTGGATTTCCCTTGTTTGGGGTAGGATATTTAAGCACCAAATGTGTCCATCAAAAAGCATAAAAAAACACATTCTAGTCACAGACTGTTAGTGCTGGCACTTCTGGCAGCTGCCTTATGCATTTGATGCATATGCAAGAGGTTTTTCATTTACTGTGAAGCATGTGCAATACGAATGAAAATATTTACCTTGTAAAAGTGTCCTCTGCGAAGATGTGAGGGACCATCCAGAAAAGTCTCCAGTGGTGGCATAATAGCATAGCCATCTATTGTAAAAAGGTAAATTTAACAAATTAATGTTAATTGCACTAAGATAAACATTCACCATATGGCATCACTGGTGGCCTCCTCAATAAAGTGGTTAAGCCATTTGCCTAATGCATTATAGGTCATGGGTTAATTTCACGGACAGCATCGTTCAGTTCCCGAGAGAAACTGTTACAGTGATCCCATGAGCATTATGGAAGCAGCAAACAGAGTTCATGTTTGAAGTATGATGCTCTTAGCAGGCAAACTAGCCCTTCTGCTGAGAGAGACTAAATCCTATGGCACAAAACCTGATGCAATGAAGCAGATCCTCTTTAAACCTTTTAGAACTTTGAAGACATCTTTAAAAACAATATAAAGCTTTTGAATTTAAAATACAATAACACAGTGTTTCCCTGGGGGAAAAACCTAACCTAAAAGTTAGCCGTGTCATAAATTTTTAGGATGTTTGTAATATAAACCCTACCCCACACATTAGGCCTAGCTAAGATCATCAGAAAGATTGTTTTGTTCCATGAAACACAAAATGAACATATTTAAATTGAAGTTCCTGTGTAGGTTCCATGGGGAAAAACAGAATGGACTCACTGCTTTGCTAACAATCATGTCAACAAGGTGATCAATTAAGTGAGTATCTTGTCAGTTGGAGTGCATCTGCCTGGGAGGCAAGGATCCAACAGTGGCAAACAAATAAGCCACATCTGTAAGATGGATTTGCAAGCAAACCTAAAGTTTCGAATAAATGACTCAAGTCCAGAAATGAATAAACTTTCCACCTGAGATTACAGAAGAATGATAAAGCGGAGGCACAAATAGAAATAAATCATTTAGGGCCACATGGCTAGTGCTGTCGCCACGACAGTGCAGGTGAGGGCCCAATCACTGTCTGCGCAGACATAAAGATAGTCTTTGATGTGCCCCCCCCCCCTCTCAAATCTACCGACTACTCTCTAACTCATCGAAGGTTGTTTAAAAAAAAAGAAAATTGAAATCGTGTCTAATATTTTTAATGTCTCAATCACCGCGTGCGCAAATATAGAGATAGTCTAGTTAGCTGTATGTATCTCACCGGCGAATGGTGGAAGTCCTGCGTTCCGACTGCTGCGCATGCACATTTACGAACATGGCTTTAATTAAATATCACAAAAATGAAAATATTAGTTTCGAAAATTTGCTCAACAAATGTCGCCACCTATTTCTATTTTCCATTTTTATATCCAGACTTAGCCTTTTCATATAAAAATTTGGCTTTTTTTATCTCCAGTTTTGGGTTGATTTATTTTTATATCCAGATTGGCTGTTTTTTAATATCCAGATTTAGCTATTTTATATCCAGTTTTAGTTAATTTATATCCAGATTTGGCTTAACATATCCAGTTTTGGCTTAATTTATATCAAGAGTTGGCTTTTTCATCCAGATCTGGCCTAATTTATATCCACTTCTAGCTATTTTATATCCAGATTTGACTTATATTCAGTTTTGGCTTACTAAATTCAAAATTGTTCTATTTTATATTCAGATTTGGCTTAATTTATATCCAGATTGGCTTATTTTATATCCAGATTTGGCTTATTGTATACTCAGACGGTTTACTTTATATCCAGATTTGGTTTTTTGAACAGATTCAGCTTTTTTGTATCCATATCTGGTTTATTTGTATCTAGATCTTGCTTATTTGTATCCAGATCTAGCTTATTTGTATCCCGATCTGCCTTATTTGTATCCATACCTGGCTTATTTGTATCCAGACAGACTTATATTTTTTAGGAGCGATTGAACATTGCAGAGGCACAAATAGTTCATTACTGTCTGGGGAGAACGGCGATGCGAGGAGTTTCAAGGCGGTCTGGCCGGCTCTTAACACTAAGTGGAAAGGCGAGATGGATATTCAATAAGACAGTTACTGGTGCCATCAGAATTGGAACTCTTCACCTGCTGCTGAGGATGGGGACAGAGCGCTTATGATGTTGATTCCTTATTCAACAGTTACCGGCTTATTTGTATAAAATTTGTATCTAGATATGGCTTATTTGTATCCTGATCCGGCTTATATGTATCCATATATGGCTTTTTTTATATGCAAATATGGCTTATTTTTTAAATCTAGATTTGACTCACGTATATCCAGATTTGGCTTTTGTGTATCCAGATTTAGCTTTTTTAAAATCTAGATCTGACTTATTCAAATCCATGTATGGCTTTTTAGTATCTATATATGGCTTATTTGTATCCAGATCTGGCTTATTTGTATCCAGCTCTGGCTTATTTGTATCCTGATTTGGCTTATTTGTATCCAGATTTGGCTTACTTGTATCCAGATCTGGCTTATTTGTTTCCAGATCTAGCTTATTTTATATCCAGATTTTGCTATTTTATATTAAGATCTAGCCCATTTGTATCCAGATCTGGCTTATTTTATGTACAGATTTAGCTATTTTATCTTAAGATCTTTTTTTTTGGGAGGGGAGGGGTCCAGAAGACCCTGCTTATTTGTATCCAGACAGATCCAGCTTTTTGTATATAGAGACATCCGGCTTTTTTTTGTATCAGACCAACTTAGCTTATTTGTATCCATACCTGGCTTATTTGTTTCCAGACTGACTCATATTTTTGGGGAGCGATTGAACATTGCGGAGGCACAAATAAATCATTACTGTCTGGGGAGAATGGCGATGCGAGGAGTTTCAAGGGGATCTGGCCGGCTCTTAACACTAAGTGGAAAGGCGAGATGGATATTCAAAAAGACAAGTATTAATTAAACGGCACAACAATAGAAATCGCACGTGTCTAACATGGTTAATGCGCAATCACTGTCTGCTCAGACATAAAGAGTCTTCGAAGTGCCCCCCCCCCCCCCCCAATCCACAGACTACTCTCTAACTCGAAGGTTGTTTCAAAAGAAAGAAAATAGAAATCGTGTCTAATATTGTTAATGTCACAATTACTGCGTGCGCAGAGATAGTCTGGTTTGCTGTACGTATCTCGCAGGCGAATGGTGAAAGTCGTGCGTTTCGACTGCTGGGCATGCGCATTTACTAACTACTAGGCTTTAATTAAATATCACTAAAATGGAAATATTGGTTTCGAAAATGTCGTCACATATTTCGAACAATAAACAGGTAGGATCTCGATATCAAAACAGACATATTCCGATTTTTTTTAATATGCAGATTTTATTATTTGTATAACCAGATTTGGCTATTTTGATATCCAGGCTTGGCTGTTTAATATCAAAAGTTGGCTTATTTTATATCCAGCTTTGGGCTATCTGTATCCAGATTTGATTATTTTTTATCCAGATTGACTGTTTTTAATATCCAGATTTAGTTATTTTATATCCATATTTAGCTTAATCCATATTTGGCTTAACTGATATCCAAATTTGGCTATTTTATATCCAGTTTTATCTTACATTTAAATGTGGCTTATTTTATATCTAGATTTTACTTATTTTATATCCAAATATGGCTCTATTCAAATCCATATCTGGCTTATTTTATATCCAGATCTGACAATTACATTTCGAGCTGGCTATTTTATATCCATATTTGGTAAATTTACATCTAGATTTTGCTAATTTTATATCCAAATCTAGCTATATTGTATCCAAAACTGGCCATTTTATATCCAGTTTTGGGTTACATTAAAATCAAATTTAGCTTATTTTATATCCAAATGTGGCTTAATTTAAATTCAGAGCTGGTATTTTATATCCAAATTTAGCTAAACATATATTGCGATTTAGCTTAATTTACATCTAGATTTGTCTGATTATATATATAAATCTGCCTTAATAATATCTAGATCTAGCTATATTATATCCAGATCTGGCTTAATTTATATCAAATTGTGGCATAATTTATATCCAGATCTGGCTTTTTTAAATAATTAATACACATTTCCTGCTATTTTTTATACAGATTTGGCTAATTTATATCTATATTTGGCATATTTCATGTCCAGATTTGGATTATTTAACATCCAGATTTGGCTAATTTTATATATCCAGATTTAACTTTTTTGAAAAAAATTAATTTCAGTATCCATATCCAGATTTGCCTCATTTTATATCCAGTTTTGGCTTACATTAAATTTGGCTGATTTTATATCCAGATTTGTTTTATTTATATTCAAATGTGGCTTAATTTAAATCCAGACTGGGCTATTTTATATCTAGATTAAGCTATTTTATATAAAGATGGGGCTTATTTTATGTCCAGATTTGGTTTATTTGTATCCCGATTTGGCTTTTCTGTAATAAAATTTTGCATTTGTATCACAAACTGGCTTATTTTATAACTAGATTTGGCTCATTTTTTATATCCAGTAGGCTTCTTTTATATCCAGATTTAGCTAATGTTATATCTATATTTGGCTTTTTTATATCCATTTGGCTGATTTTATATCCAGCTTTCGCTTATTTGAAACCCAGAAAAGGCTGACTAATCAGGGGAGTCTCCTTCAAAATGGCAGTGCATAATTCTGAGAGGCAATTAACCAACAGTCCGCACAGAAATAAATAGGATGTGTAAAACAGATGCGCATTGAAAACTCAACGTTCTAGATCAGAATCCAGAAGTGGATGAACAACCAGAAGTTTACAGCTGTTGAACGCAAAAAAGAAACTTTTTTCCTCACCTTAAATGACAACTTACCATCAATAATTTCATGATCATGTCTTCTTCTGTTCTTTTCTTCTTCTGACAGGGATTTGAAGAGCATGTCTGACTTTCTCCCAATGAAAGTACACACACGCTTCTGAAACTCTGCATCCCTGAAAAAATGAATGTTTAATTTGTAAGCTCACTTAAAAAAAGAAGCTGTTACATGTACAAGAAATGTAAGATTGGGGAACTGTGCCCTGGTAGACAGGTACCCTCAGATCCTAGGTCTGACCAGACAGCACTCCAGTAAAAACCAAACTGTACTGATCAGTAAAGTAAACTCCCCGTGTGGGTTCTGTGGCCCTATTGTGGGAAAAACAAGAATAGACCCACTGCCTCCCCAACAAGCATGTCGTAAGAGTCAACTATCTAGGGGCATTCTTTTAAATTGGAGTGCATTTGCCTGAGAGGCAAGGAACCAACAGTCTGCCCACAGATATGTAAGAGCTGTAAAACGGATGTACACACGGCACTCTGCTTCTGTGAGAAAACTAAAGTCCAGAGGTGGATGAATACCCAGAACTTTCCGCTAGAGTTTACAGCTGGTGAACGCGAAGAAGAAGTAAAGTATATGCGTCAAAATCCACCTTGATAGAGACCTGCGGCCAGTTCATCTTAAAGTAATTAGCAGGGGAAATGAAATGAAGTTCTTGTTGCCATGAGAAAAAAGATACCTTTAGGGTGACTAAGAGAGAAGCTGTTGGACAGTCTGACAGCATTTCATGCAAGAAATCTATCAGAAATGACAGTCAGTACATGAGCCAGCAGGCTGTAAACAGACAGGATTAATGAAAACAGCATGGACTAAAAGAAAACAGTTTTTTTTATTTCACTTAAGTTTATAGAAAAACATCCTAATATTCAACAGTTTATACATATACACACACACAAAACAATCATGGTATAAGAACATAATGTAAATGAATGTGCAGCTCTCTCTCTCTCTCGACCCTCCACCCCTCCTCTTTTTTTATTCTTTGCATTCACTAGCTGTAAACTCTGGCGGATTGTTCCAGTTATCTGGCTACTTCTGGACTTTAGTCTTTAGTTCTTTTCACCCCATCTAGGGGGTTGCCAGATTTGGTAGGAAATATTCCAAGTGAGTTCACAGAATGTCTTACATTGGGGGAGGGAAGGGGGGGGGGGGGGGGGGGGGGGGGGGGGGGGGGGGTTAGGATTAGTTTTTCTTGTTTTTTCTTTTGTAAACGTCCAAAATGGATTATCAATATCTGCAATGTGGTCTCTAGTGCGAAGTTCACTGTCTTGTGTAAATCATTTAGTGACCCATCTTAGGGTGGTGGTGAGGTAGGGCCCTGAAAAGGACAGACAGTCTGCCATGTAAGTATACTGGTGGGTTAGGGATACATGCAGCGATGCTGACATGTCAAGGAAATTGATGGCGAAGATGAAGTCATGAAGTAAGAATACCGCTTTGAAACACGGCACAGTGGTTGTGATGAACAAACGATAGTAACACATACTGGACATGATGAGGCAACAAATGATGCAAACACTGAAAACAACCAACACATGACACCTTTAGAACATAAGAGTTTCGGTGTTTTATTGTTAGTATTAAATGAATACCGACTCTAACCTTAACCCTAAACCCTCTATACTATAGGACTTTATGGAAACTCACTATGAATTCCCTAGGAAATCTCACAGCCCCAAAGATGGGGTGAGAAAGCGGAAAAGAACATACTCTTGTTTCAGGAATTGAGTGCTGCATGCGCATGTTTTTATTTTTATATAGCTTATTTGTGTGCAGACTGCTGGTTCTTTGTCTCTCAGGCAGTGCATTCCAACTTTAAGGAAACTCTGTTCCTATCTATGTTGGCTGGGCTCCTCGTTTGGAACCTGTGTCTAGTATGACCACGGACAGTGAGCAAACAAACTTTATTTCTAAAGGGTCACAAATTGGTCCCACAGGCCTGCATACTATGCGCTTTTAAACACTCTTTTTTCATACGGCAAATGTATTTTATATATCAAACATATTCTTCTTATTCTGCCTTTTAAACCCCCAATAGAGCATAGGCTCCCAAACATATGTTAACTCTTTATGAGTCCCAGGGAACACACCACGCGCTAATTGGTTACAACCCAGCTGCCCATATGGCGTGCGACAATCTAAGGTGTTTAGTTACCACTGACCTGTAATAAAACGTGGACCGCTCAGTTTCAACTTCCTTGATATCAGGCGTGCTCAATTGGAAATGTGGTTTAAAAGTCGAAAATACAGTAAATTTGCGAGGTTTACCAAGTTACTAAATGTTTGTTAGAAAACAATATGGCCACTAAGCAAATTCTACATGCATGCCAACATGATTTACGGCTTTATAAGCCATAAATTTTAATAAAGCACGTGTTTATTAGATTTATCTGAAGCTAGATAATATTTCAAAGTAAACTTGTTTCAGTCATTTATAGAGTCAAACTTTGATGAGGGATAGGTCTAATGTGTACCCAACACGAAGGGTGCAATGATAGTAAAGTCAGCTGGCACAATAGAATAAATATTAGTGAAAAGTGATAATCTTCAGTGTTAGTTAGTTCTAGTGCCATTAACTTATTATTTAGGAACATAATTACAAAATTACAGGCAAACTGTAAGTAAAAAGTAAAGGACCCTTTCCACGCCTTTAGGCGTATAGGCATATAGGGCTAGACCTATATTTTATAGACCAGTCGACACAAGATGGGTGATCTTGCCGCCTTTACTTTCCTGGGACTGCACCCAGGTCCCCACTCTAGGCTGGGTTGACCTGGGAGCCAAAGTCCTTTTTTAAAAAAGTCTGGCTCCGCCAGGGAGCGAACCCACAACCTTCCAATCTGCGGCGAGCATCTAGCTTCTCGGCCATGGTGACTCCCCACAGGCAAACTGAGTGTTATATAAACTTTGTTTTGTGTGAAGATACTGTTTTAGGAAGTCAGTTTTTTTTAACCAAATAATGGTGCTCTGTTATGATGCTTCAAAAGATTCTGTAGAACAACATCTAATGTACAGATTGAGTTTATATTTTACTTATTACTAAGTGGTTCATATTCATTTGTGATTCATTTTTGGATATATTTTAATGAGTTTTCCTTGAGTGCCATGGTGGTAAGTTGAACAATCATTTCATTTTACTGAGTTCTGTAAAATACTGTATTTTAATATTATTATTATTCCCCAATTAGCCCTGGTCACTCTGATGTATAATATGTGTATGTTGGGGGGCAGCTGAATTAGTACGTTCTGTTTTAATGTGTTGAACTTGTGAAATAAAAAAATTGCATTACCACACCTTGAGCCTCTCATCTAAACCCCCTGGGACTCAAAGAGTTAATATATCAAAATCCACAATATGAATGTAAAACAAAAATAAAAAGCATGGATGGAAAATGCCTACCCACAAAGATAAATGAAAAAAATACACAAATAAGGCAGGAACACATTGTAGAAAAAAATAAACAAGCAAAGCAGTAAAATGGAGACAAACACATAATTGCACACACTGAAACAACCTTCATACACTCACAGGTACACACACATTCACAGACACAACACCCACAACATTTCATACAGACACAACACACACAGTAATAACATTTCGCCCGGGCAGTGCCGTTAGGCCACTCTTTTCAACTTCCAAGGGATTTTTTACGTGCACAATCAATACACATGGGCTTCCAATCTAACTATCCACAGAAAAGGGGAAATTACTAAAAGTCCACATGGAAAAAAATCCCTGCCGTGAACAGGTGCCTGAACCCGGGACCTGCAGCACTTGAGGCGGGCGCCATACCTCAAGATTCTGAGTCAACAGCTAATGTAAAAAAAAAAAAATATCAATTGTAATAAAGAGAAGAACACTAAACCAAATCCCCTGTGTGGGTCCCGGGGCCCTATTATAGGGAAAACAAGAACAGACATACTGCCTACCCAGAAGCATGTCGTAAGAGTCGACTAATTGGGAGCTTCCTTCGAAGTTGGAGTGCATCTGCCTGAGAGGCAAGGAACCAACAGTCTGCACACAAATGTGTCAAAAGGATGCACATGCAACACTCAGGTTCTGGAACAGGACTGCAGTCCAGAAGTGGACGAACAACCAGAACTTTCCCCCAGAGTTTACAGCTGGTGAACGCAAAGAAGAAGAGGAAGACTAAACCAAATTACTGACTTTATTTCTGGGTCTCGATGCTGCTTGCGATCCAAAGATGCCAGTAGTGATGCTGACGGTTGCTTCTGGTGTTCTGCCTTTAAACTGTACAGCAAACCAAGGCCATGGTACTGAAGGGCTTGGCCAAGCAGCTTTTCATCCATTTTACTTATTTTTTGACAAAGCAATTTATCCTGTCTCTTTAAATGACATCTGCATTATCAAACTCTTACAGACGAATTTCATGGACTGTCACTGTGGAATATACATTTGTAAAACTTGCTGACGCTGATGATTCATTAAAAGACGTAACTCTTATAAAATTCATAACAGAGAGCTCCAATGTGGGTTTAGGGTCTCATTTAGAGAGGGGTGGGGGGAGGGGGGGGGGGTGTTGGAACAGGTCTGGTGCTTCCTAACAAGCATGTCATAAAAGGCAACTAATTTGGGATGTGCTAAAGGTCAGATGTGTTGGGCTGAAAGGTACAGATATCACAGCTCAGCTATAAACCAAAAGACAACATATCAACCACCTTTTTAGGGGGGAAAGTCAAGGATATATAGGACAGAAAATTTAAAGGCAGATAAGCAAGAGGTAGGCATGATACAAGTGGAGTGGATCACATCAAGAGATGGATGAAAAGCAGTCTGAAAGAGTGGGCGCCCAGGGTGAAAGAAAGTTGAAGATATTAACTGCCAACCTTCTCTGGGCTACTGATGAACCACAAACATTCATTACCTGAGGCCTGTTATAGAACAGAGGAAATTAAATGGTATGACAGAATCACTAATGTTAAGCTTTGGGAGAGAAGTAAACAAAGTCCAATGAATCGAGAGGGGAGGAAAAGACACTGGCATTGGATAGGACACCCACTGATAAAACATGAGAACAATATAACTAGAATAGCTTTAAACTGGAACCCACAAGGGCAAAGAAATAAAAGTAAACCTTGAAAAAAAAACATGAAAAAGGAAACCAGAGAGTGAAGTTGAAAAGAAGAGGAAGAAATGGCTGAGCTGTGTATGACAGGAAAGGATAAGACGACTTGGCGTGAGTTGGTTGAGAGTCTATGCTGCACAGGGGGATAAAATATAATAATATATTATAATATTAAATATATAACATTATTAGTAAGTGATGTGCGCCTAACAATAAACATTAAATTATTTAAACATTGTCTGAAATTCAATCCAAGCATCAAGCAACAGGATGCAAAGAGTTCCTCCTCTCCAACATCACTGCTGTGAAAATTCACAATTTATTATGAAGATGATCACTGTAATCACTAGGGCAGTGATTCCCAAACTGTGTGCTACAGCGCCCCGGGGAGCCGCGACCTCTTCACAGGGGCGCCGTGAAATATTCTAAGATACACCAATTTTTTTTATCTCCTACATATAATTAGTCATACTTTTACTTGGGTTAGGGCGCTGTGACTAAGAAAAGTTTGGGATACACTTCACTAGGGTGTTGACCGTTTTCTTCTAATTTTCTTACTTTCGTCATATTATAACAATAACATTTTCTTCATAAATTACTGACAGTTTACAGAATCATCTACACTGAACATTGCAGTGACAGGGTCACTGTTTTGAGTCATGGAAAATTTGTTGCTTCTGCCAGATGGTGGCAGTTGCATTTTTGCTCCATTTTTAGACTGGAAGGATATAGTTTCATCACCCAGCTACTGAGCTGAGTGCATCGTGTGACACTGTGAGCTGCGGATTTCATTTGGAATGTTTTTTTTACTGTCACCAACGTAGTGTGGTGAATTGTAGATTCAGAAAATGGCGCGTGACCAGTCGTCGCAATATTGGTGGGGCCCTTATGTGATAAAAATTGATCGCGTGTGCAACTGCTGATCTGTTGGTAACTTCTGCTACTGTCGATGATGAACTGCATTTCTAATGTCAGACTTTTTGTTTTAGAAATTGTGATGGCTACCGTATGCTTTTAATGTGTGTATGCTAGTTGCATATGCCTAGTCAGCAGTCTTTCAATCTCTCCACAAGGGACTGTGATGAACATTCTGTGTTTTTCATTGGCACAGGAACGGAGCAACTATGGGAAGGGGGGGGGGGGGGGGGGGCCGACGTTTGCCATGAAGCTAAAACTCTAAGATTACCAAACGACAAAATGAAAATGTTCAAATGTAATCTTGAAAACTAGCAACTCAATGTGTGTGTGTGTGTGATTCTCATAATGTATTCGTTAAAGTTAGCCCACCAGTCCCACTCACTGTTTAGTCCTTGCAGTTGATGATCTGTTGTCTAAACTAAGTTTCGACAATGGATCATAATCAACTGCAAAGGTATTAATTTAATTAAATAGTAACTCATAAGTGCTCCGTTCGAAGATTCTCAGCGCAGTGCACGAACTCCGTTCCGTAGCACCAGTGAGGATTCTTAAGGTTAAAATATTTGGCTCTCCTCCAAACTTCAACCCGATATTATGGCGGCCATAAAATATCCTTACGGGGCTCAGTTCTATTAAAAACATGCCAGCTCCGTATAACGAAACAAATGCTCTAACAGCGATATGTTACTTGCGGACCTTTTTCTGTGACTATGCCTCACCGCCGACCGACTAGATGGCCGGGACTCATGAGCAGCAGCTACCGCATCTCCTGCAACTTCCTCCAATTAATTTGCTCGTGAGTCCCAGGCACCTAGTTTAGCCCCCCATCTGCGCCGCACGTAGCGGCGCTGGGGATATGCTCGGCGGTGAGTTTAATCGCATTTTGCGCATGCTATTATCGTCTGCAGAAACGCTCGAAATTGTCAACAGTCGCTATTATCATCTGCTTTTATCGTCTGCAATGTTGCGTCTCTTGAAATTGTCAAGTAATCCTAGTTTTTCCGCGATTTGTTCCTTGGCAGAAAGTCCGCATTTTACATATGACTAAGTCCCGTAAGTAAGGATATTTTATGGCCGCCATAATATTGGGTTGAAGTTCGGAGGAGAGCCAAATATTTTTTTAACTACATTTAGTATGGTACACACAAAATTAAACATTAAAATTAAAATAGTTTTTAAAAATGTGCAGGTTACAAAAAAAAAAAGCAACATAGGATTCGATTTAAATTGAAGACGATTATTTAGCAACTACAGTTTCGGAAATTTGCGATCTTTTCGACAATTTCCGTTACCATGGAAACCGTTTGAAACTTGTTTCGGAAATGTCGGCTGTGGTTTCGGGATGGGTCCTAATCTCTCATGAAATTTTGCGATTGGTGTGATTTTCACCCACTCTAAATAGCTGAAAACGGCGGGAAGGAACTCGATTAACAGTGCATGTCTTCGATAGCCGGACGTCCTCTGTTTTTCTGTTAGTCTATCAGTTTGATTGAAAATAGCGGTAAATTCGAGGTTGGCTTTAGGCCTTAAACATTACCAGATGTGGTAATGCTAGTTATAATTGAATTCTCCGTCCAATTTTACATTTGTATATAAAATTTCTTTCCCGTTTTTGGCTGTTTAGATTTACAGTGACATTTTTTAGGCAATCGCATGCGGCTGAGTCTCATTGCCTGCCATCTTGTCCAATGACAGTCCACAATGTCAACAAAGCCGATACAGAACTGCAGTGGCAGTAGGGTAGGTTGCGCAGAGGAAAAACTTCTTGTTTCTCTGGGTGACAAGTTTTAGCGGCTGTTTCTTACATCTAATCTCCACAAAAACCTACATATCTCAGCTCAGAAATGACATACAAGCCTAAATGAAGTACCATTGGAAAGAGATCGTTTACAGCTATCTAACTGTGCTGGTTTTATTGGTGTAGTAGAGGCATTTCACTGAAGTAGCTAGATTAATTATAATATTAATTATTAATGACACCGCCTAATAACAACCCCAACGAGTAGAGAAACGGATAAATGCAACAGCAAACATATTTCATTAAGGCAACTGGAGAAAGTAGATATAAACCCGATAGTTACCTCAAACATATAATACTGACTGTATCTTGAGTAACATCTGCGTGCAAGGAATAGGGGAATATTGTCGGTTGTGAGCGAGAACTGTAACTCCAACTCTCCAGCAAATAGAAACACAGAAGTCGTCACTAATAGTACGATAGTTGTGCCTCTAGACATGAACCTATGTTATTAACTCTTACTTACAGTCCGTGGTATGTGTTTAAAACACTGCCTTCTCTAATAAATAAATAAATAATAAATAGAGAAGGCTGTGGTTTAAAAGTATAATTATACAGTAATACTTGGTTAACACGAATTCAAAAGGATATCGTGTTAATCGAAATTCATGCTAACCAGGGTATCAAATTTCACAGTTACAAATAGAAAAAAAAAAAACGGATTTTTTTCAAACGTGACCATGGTTCTTTTTTTCCCCCATGAGTTGACCATGTTCAACCTGTATTGTAAAGGTTATAGCTAGGTTGTTTGATGTTGTTTTTTCTTTTTGCGTCTGCTTGAAAGTTGCGGTTGATTTGGCTCTTCCAACAGGAGTTTTTTTTTTTTTTTTCAAAATTCGTTAACAAAGTCCGGCGACAGGTGTTTGCTTCTCTTCCGTCTGCTGCTTGGGTGATCTTTCTAATGTTGCTGTCTTTGTCGCTATCCTGATAAGGGCTTAATCCTGATAAGGGCTACCCTGGCATTTTCTGTTGCGTCTATTTCTCTGGCTTGTTTCCCAATGGTCTCCTAGGGCTTCTTTCTTCTTGGTAGTCGTCTACCTCTATTTCTAGATCACTAGCTTGGTTTGAGGTATCGAGTACGTTCTGGATATTTTCCCATTTTTCGTCTAGGACTTTCTGTCTGTCTTTAATTTTGTTGAACGGGTAGACCTACCCTCAAATGGGTACTAGGTAATGTCGTGGGAAGTAAAGGAGGCCGGTGTGTTGTTGACCACATCACCAATCGAGCACTTTAAAAATATGCGTCTAGCCTCAAACGCCCGATGCACCACTCACGTGTAAAATTGACATACTGATATAATGAATGCTCTACGCGAGAATCAAGTGATGACTGTGAATCTGCAATCATGACAATACTGCAAGAACAACCTGTTAAAAGTGGTGTAACCAGACAAGAACACTATGCAGGGAACCTAAGAAAATAATAAATCAACACAGGACTGGTGTCGTCAGTTGCTACACGTTGCGGGGTTTACTGAGGATGGGATCTGAACACTTATGAACCAAAT